ACACCTTAAAGCGCACCCGGAAGGCCACTGGCAACCAGTGCAGCTCGCGCAGCAGCGGTGTTACATGGGAGCGACGAGTCCCTCCCAACACCGCCCGCGCGGCCGCATTCTGGACCAGTTGAAGCCTCCGGGTGCTCCTCAAAGGGAGCCCCATGTAGAGAGCGTTACAATAGTCCAGGCGGGAGGTGACAAGAGCATGGGTGACTGTGCGCAGGGCGTCCCGGTCCAGAAAAGGTCGCAATTGGTGAATCAGGCGAACCTGATAAAACGCCCCCCTGGTCACAGCCGACAAATGGTCATCCAATGTCAGCCGTGGATCCAGGAGGACTCCCAAGTTGCGCGCCCTCTCTGAGGGGGCCAAAATTTCGCCCCCTAGCAATGGAGTCAGCTGACTATGCCGAGGCGCCGGCAACCACAGCCACTCGGTCTTGGAAGGGTTGAGCCTGAGTCTGTTCCTCCCCATCCAGACCCGTACGGCCTCCAGGCAACGGGCCATCACGTCAAAGGCATCGTTGGGGTGGCCTGGGGTGGAAATGTACAGCTGAGTATCATCATGACCTTTGGGTGACCCTGCTGGGAGTATATATTCTTGGCATACACTTCCAATGTTATTTGCTTATCCTTCCCTCCCAGGAGCAACCCCTACCACCACAGTGATGCGGCGGGATGGGGGGGGCACGCGGAACTGAATTAGGGTCATTTGGGTTATTGTGTTCTGTGGGCCTATAATGTGATCCAATTCATAGTTCTATTATTTGCTCTTTAATCTTCAGACAAATTTACTTATCTCTCACATCAGTTCATTGAAATATATTACAATTAGGGCCAACATATATATATATATATACTTGGGTTGGGTCATCAACTGCAGGTTTCCAACCCTGCCTTAAAGGCCATATTGACACCTACCCCCATCCTTAGTAAAGCTAATGCAGAAAAATTCAGATTCATTCCTGAAAATTACTTGGTAAATCCTCTCTCTGCCAGAGAAGCTGGTGGTTTATCATTTGTTTGGGTTTATGGATTTAATGTGGAATTTAAATTACTAGTTGTTACCTTACTTTTCTGCTAGGCCAGTGGGTGGGAACTTTCATTTAACAGCCTTTTATGTTTTTTACCCAGATCCTTTTGATGTTGATTCAGGAAAAGAATTTTTTATACTCAACGGGCCTTGCAGTACCACACAGTAAGTCTTTTAAAGGATTCCTTTAAGAGTCTGTAGAGATCATCATTGGGCTATAGAGAGTAACCCTGATCTCCATTTGTAGAGCAACTGAGGGAGATGAGAGCTCCTCTGAGGAGACCCCTGAGGACAGCGATGGCAGCAGCAGCAGCAGTGATGAGGACCTGAACACCGCCTGTTCTAGAGCCAGTAAGTCAGCTGCAGGGAGGCAAAAGAGCATTCTTAAAGAGAAGAAGCATCACTGAGTTTAATAACAGGGTTTTGCTCTGAGTTAGGATACAAATTTGGACAATGTTCTTCCAGTCTGAAATACTTCATTCAGCCCATTGGTCTTGTCCATCAACTGAGCTGTTTGATGAACTTCATTAATACGCTGCTTGTCAAATAGTTTTTACTAATGCAACATCCACATCCTGGTCTTATTTTTTTTACTTAACATCTCAGTTAATTATTATTCCAAAAATTGTTTTGAGATGGTGGAGGAAAAACCAGAAGCAATTTCCTTATATCTGACATCACTACTTTTTGGTTGTTTTATATTTCAGTTCTTAATATGTTGTGGATGGATAGTTGATAATAAATGCTCTAAACCAAAAATTACAGTGGAAACAGGCTTCTCATTGTTTTTGAAGGGGCAAGTGAAAACAAGGCCAATTACTAGCACATGTTCATCATCATGTAGTTGGCTAGTCTCAGAAAATATAAAAGAAAGCAAGCAGGATTGAGCAGAATTGATTTAATAGGAAGAAAGTCTATTAATTTTATCAGAATAACAGAGTTGAAAGGGACCTTGGAAGTCTTCTAGTCCAACCCACTTTTCAAGCAGAAGTCCCTATACCGTTAAAAGGTGGTCCAATCCCTTAAAAACCTCCAGTGATGGAGCTTTCAGCTCCAAAGATCCCTTTGCTAAAGACAGCTGAATATTAACTGCAAAGTTAAAGCACTTCCGTTTTATATGCCCAATGCTTTTATGAAGAAATTAATACCCCCCTCTGTAGATCATGCTAATGGGTTTTCTCTGGGCAGCTCACAAAACAATGTTCACAGCATACAATAACATCGACCACAATATGCTTTCGAGTCAACTTCAGGGGATGAGAGTGGGAGATACTGTTTTGCAGTATACCTCCTTTCTCTGTGATGGCTTTCAATTGGTGTTGATGGTTAGAATCAGAGGACTGGAAAAGAGCTGATGTGTTTTCCAATCTTCAAAAAGGGGGGGAAACGATCTGGGAAATTACAGATCATCTTGACATCAATACCTGGGAAAATCCCGGAAAAGATCATTAATCAGTAAATTTGTGAGGTGATTACTGGAAGCCAGTATGGGTTTGTTATAAATGGATCATGTCAAACAAAAGTTATTGCCCATTTTGATAAAGTGACTAGTAAATCAGGAAAATTGTGTGGATACAATATACTTAAGAGTTCAATAAGGCATTTGACAAAGTAGAACACAGCCCACTTCTTGTTAAGATAGAACAATGTGGGATAGACATTGATTGATTCACCACCACCAGATTGATTCACAGTTGGCTAACCAATCACAGTGTGTAGTCTTCAATGGAACTACATCTACATGGAGAAAATCATCTTCAACATCTTCATAAATGATCTAAATGAGGGGCTAAAACGGGTAGGCAACCTTGGCTCTTTTATGACTCGTGGACTTCAACTCCCAGAATTCCTGAGCCAGCATGGCTCAGCTTGGAAACCTCTCCCTTTCCCCTCAGCATGGCTGGCTCAGGAATTCTGGGAGTTGAAGTCCACGAGTCATAAAAGAGCCAAGGTTGCCTACCCCTGGGCTAAAAGGAAAACTCATCGAACTTGCAGATGACACCCAGCTGGGAGAATTGCTTTGGAAGATAGATGCAGGATTCAGAAGGCTCTTGACAGACTTGAGCACTGGAGTTCAGTGATGAAAAAAGTAGTGTCCTGCCCTTAAGAAGGAAGAACCAAATGCATAGGTATAGAATAGGAGGCATCTGTAGTAATTGTGAGAGAGATCGAAGTGTCCTGGTGGATCATTGCTTAAGTATGAATCATTAGCACACTGCCACTGCTAGAAAAGCCAATGCAGTTTTAGGCTGCATCAGCAAAGAGACGATCACAAATGTGATAGTTCTGCTTTATACTTCACTTAGAATCTGGTTCTGGTGACCACAATTCAAAAAAGATGCTGAGGCCTTGGAGATAATGCAGAGAAGAGCAACAAAGGGGCCTCAAAGCTAAATCTTACAATGAACAGCTAAGGTACATTTAGCCCAATGAAGCGAAGGCTTAAGGGAGACATGATAGCAGTCTTCCAATAATTGAAGGCCACCACAGGAAAGAGGACATCGAATTATTCTCCACAGCACCTGAGGACAGGACAAGAAGCAATGGGTGGCTGACAAGAGTGAGGTTCAACCTGGAAATGAGGAATTTCCTGATAGTAAGAACAGTTAATCAGTGGAGCAGCTTGCCTCCTGGAGTTGTAGGTGCTCCATTGCTGGAGGTTTTCAAGAAAAGATTGGACAATCATTTGTCTGGGGTGGTATAGGGACTCCTGCCTTGGGCAAAGGGTTGGCCTAGAAGACCACCACAATTCCTTCCAGCCCTGTGAGTCGTATCCACAGCCACTTATTTATGGAGCCCTGGAGGGGCATTGCAGGGTTTATTTCTCTCCCCTTCAGATGGAACTCAATTATACCTCTGAAGTGACTGTGTCAAAGGGCTGACCCAGTGTCTGAAGGCTGTATGGGTCTGGATGTGGAGAACTGATTAGGGCAGGTGGTAACAGTGGCCAAAAGGACCTGTGACCAGATACATCTGGTATACCAATTGTGCCTGTTCCTGGGTCATAAGTCCTTCTAAAAGTGACTCGTGCCTTGGTCATCTTGTGATTGGATTGCTAGTGTTCTCTACATAGGACCACCCTTGAAGACCTCTTGGAAGCCACAGCTAGTCCAGAATACAGCAATGTAGGCAGTCATGGGCGGATGACAGTATATGCGCATGTCCTCTGCTGCTTCATGAGCCGCACTGCTTACTGTTTGCTTTCCGTTGCCATTCGAGGCACTAGCAGAAGCCCTTCATGGCTTAGGGCCCAGCTACCTGAGGGAATTGCCCAACGAGGTCAGAGTAGACAGGCTCCAGGTCCCATTCCTTTAGCAGTGTCACCTTACAGGACCCAGAAAGCATGATGATGGCTCCTGCTCTCTGGAATGAGACATACCTGGAAATCCATATTTTTCCCAGGCTACTGATTTTTCACAACTTGCTGAAAAGTGGTTCTTCTCCAAGGCTTGGAATTCAACATATTCCATCATCCGTCTCTTCTTTGATAAAGATTTTAATTTTACTTCATTGTGAACCACCCAGACTTGCATGGCCTTAAAACTAGAATATTAAATAGCAACTAAAATGCTGTATTGTAAGATGTTAATCTTATAATAAACCTCCTTTACTTGACTCCAGTGTGATACTCTGAGGGATCTTTCTGCTCTCTGGCACCAAATTTGGCTGACGATACAGAGAGAGCCTTCTTCAGTGCAGACTAATGAGGCCAAAACTTTAGCTGTTGCCATATTCTGGACAAATTGTAAATCCATACCAATTTTTTAAAAAACTCCTTACAGTTCATTGCAGCAAAGTTGTTCTCAAAGTGATTATAACTAACTTGTTCTATTAAAGCAATTGTCTCAGGTGACTAAGTGTGTCATAAGAACACTGTCTTTTAAATCCAGAAAGCAAAATATTGTATATGCTTCGGGTCTCATCAATTAAGCAGTGTCATTTTGCAGTGTGGAATGAGAACCCCCAAGGGATTTGTACTACCACAACCCTGTTGACTTTCTGCAAACACAGCATGAACCACATGGGTTGTTTTTTCTGTTTGATGTTTTGAGATTTGTCTCTGGTCAGTTACTTGATATACTGTTTATTCTTTTAATTATCTGTAAGCCACCCAGAGTCACTATGGAGTTGGACAGCCTCAAAATTAAATACTATGAATGGATCAGGTCTCCTGATGATCACCCACAATAGCTTCATGTGAATATGAAGCAGCATGCATAAGGGATCAGAACTGCAAGCCACGAATCAGCTGGAGATTGAGTAGAAATTCTCACAGCATCATTGACAATCCACCGTCCAAGTAGCAACAGACCTAACAATACTTTGGTTCCCTATGAAATCTTTCAGAATGCTCTGGGCTGTCATTGGCAGTTTGTACTTGGACATGAACAACCTTTTTTCTAATTTTAGAACAAAGGCCATAAGAATAAGTGGGAACTGACTGTTCCTTACCAATCCTATAAAAAAATATTGGCTTTTTAAAAAGCCAGTAGTAACAGCTTTTTTTCTGCTTGCAAACAGCTATTGGAGCTAAGAATGATCACACTAATATTGAGTTAATTTTAGCATAAAATGTTATTCCTGGGCTTTGGAATAGGACAAATAGCTGGAGCCCATGTGGTTATGGGACTGAATTTCTTATAGGTTTTTTTTTTTTTAATCTCAGCTGGCCTCAGTTTTTTTCTAAACTTGCTTTGAAATGTATTTTCTGTTTGTGTGTGTTAGTTGCCTGGAGATGCTACTTAATTGAACAGGAATTCATGGACAAATGCAGGATTAGGAAAAATGCTCCTCTTTGACTACTGTGTTTAGACTTTTCCTTTTGTGCCTGAAAAACAACACAGAAAAGGTGTAGAGACAGCAGCAATAAATCCAGTTTGTAGTTTGGCAGCTATTGCCTTCATGATGCAATAATTCAATATGGGTTTAGATTTTCTGAATTTATCAAGAAAACCTGAATTTTCTGCTTTGACCTATCCACTTTTTTCCACATTTTTGCCTCAGCTTTAAAAGCCAATTGAAGAATGGCCAGGAAATCCAAACTACGCACAGATAAAAAGCCCAATGGTGTCCTGAACATGGGTTGAAACCAGAACACTGGATGCTTCTTTCCAAATCCAGAATGATTGTTTTCAAAACCTGAATGTTTTTGGCATCCCCATCAGAAAATCAGGTCTGACTGAAATGTCCTTTTATCTATGGTTGCCCAAATATTAGTCTTGCCTGGGAAGATTACGTCAGTGGCAAATGTTGTCTAGGTTCAGACTAGATTTCTGCTCTTTTAAAGAAGGTGGAGGTGTGCCAAGCATGCCTTCGTCCTGATCCAGTGTTGCTCTGGTTTGCTGGAAGGGATTCTTGGTAAAGGGCTTAGGAGGGGTGAACCACATCAACTCTCCCAGAGCTTCACGTTCAGATAATTCATCCTGGAAAATCCCCCGACCAGCCCTGGAGGAGAACTGGCATATTCTGGAGTTCTCTGGAAAGTTCCTGTCATGGAATGATAAGTCTTGCAGATCCCTGATAGCTTTTTGCTTTTTTCAGTGAACAGATATTAACCTATATTTTAACAGGCATTATGTATAGTTTAAAACAAGTTAGATTACATAGCAAGTTCCAGGCCTAACCATAAAACTTTTTTTGTAAACTCACAAAAGTGTGTCAGAGAATGAAGTAAACTCAATACAAAATTTAATTATGAGTGCTGCATTTCTCATTTTTTCAAACATTTCTGCACTTTCTAAGAGTTAAGGGAAAGGATTATCACTGACTTTTTAATGCAACCATATACAATTTAACTGCATTTTTACAGATGTATGAAAAACAGTTTTATACCTGAAATACTTAAAACTCCTGGATTTCCTAGTATGGTTTGCTGACAGCTACAGCAGACAACACATCTGAGCATCATCAGCAAGCGACTCCCTTCACCCAGTGTTTAATTGAAACTACCGCAGATCAAGTTGTGCTATCTGCAGTCTAGAGTAGCTGTTTCTCCAGAAATGGTGTAATATTGAAGGAATGGGGAAGAAAGCGAGACAAAAAACTTTATAGAAACAGTTTATTTACTCTAAACAGCAACACAGACAAAACTCCATAAACACAAAGGAGGTGACGCAGAATCAAGATGCGGCTGACTTTGGATCCAAGGCATTTATGCAACAATCTAATTCCTTATTGATAGAAAACAAAAGGGAATGGAGGACATGTTTCTTCTTACCAGCCAAGTAGAGGCAAAAAAACAAAACAAAACACCCCCCCCCCAAAAACATTTTAAAGCGTGCCTGCATCTGAGAGCAAAGAAACTAGAGATACTAGTGAATTTATAGAAGTATAAAAGTTTATAGTTTACAGCAGTTGAAATACTGACATCAATATTAAAATAAAAGCAAGTTTTACATAACAATCAAAAATACAAAAGACTGAAGGAAGAGACCCTGTATGAAAAACTGGGGACAATTCAGCAAGTTTAGAACTGTATACAAGTGGTGAATATGGAAAATGGCACACATATAATCCCTTCCCCTAAATGACTATTAATTGTACATAGCGACATTAGATTTGCAAAAGTTTTGTAAACAAGTTCTTGCCAATTAATCCCTTCCTTTAAAGATGTGGGTGACAGGAGCTTATGATGGTGCAAACTTCTTGGCTTGTGCTCGAACCCTCTTTTCATATTCCACTCTGTTTTGGCTAAATGTAGAGAGAGAGAAAAAGCTAACAATTCTCAAAAATCAGAATCCATAAAGTGTTCTAGATCAGATTCTCCCTAGCACAAAAACCCACAAAAATCAAACTCTTGGCATCTTAAGTGAATTTGCACTGTTTCCCTGGAGATGGAAATCAGACAGGAGTTACATGCTAGGACTCAAGTAAAAGCACTTTAGAACACGCCTCCCATGAATTTTGGTATGCATGAATTAATATGAATAGCATTGCTTTCAGATGCAAAATCAATTATCAGATTGTATGCAATTATTTCTAATAATGAAGTAATTCAAGAATGGGAAAGAGATGATAAGCACGGGGGCTCAACAGGGAAGAGTCTCCAAAAACCAAACCAAAAAACCCTTCACTTTGAACCAATGGCCCTGAGGCCTTGGAGACCTTAGTGGCGTTTTCTCATGTTCCAAAGGCTTTGAGCAGGAGCCCTGCAATGCAGCAAGCTATTTTATTCGTGTGGTAGAAAATGGATCTCATTTTTTTCTAATTGTGAACGCCTAACAGTTTATTAGCATGCAGCTTTTCCATGGAAAAATATACTTAGAGTAACTCGTAACTTCAGAAAATAAAACAAATGCTTCAAAATTAACTATTTCAAAATAAAAATATGTTTTGTTTTCAAATAAATACATTGTTTCAGAAACTCTACAGTTCAGCTGAACCTGTTAGGAATGGTTAGAATCCAGACCTGTATATAGCAACAGCACTTAGGCTTATATACCTCCCTATAGTGCTTTATAGTGCCCCCTGGATGGTTCACAGTGCCAGCACGTTGCTCCCCAACAATCTGGGTCCTCTTTTTACTGACCTCAAGGATGGGAAGGCTGAGTCAACCTGTCAAGCCTGTCAGGATTGAACTCCTGGCTGTGGGCAGAGTTAGCCTGCGATTCTAACCATTGTGCCACCAGTGTATATAATTGTGTATATGTACTATAATTATATACAAATATTATTTGTATAATACAAACCCAGTGTATTATAAAGGTATCCATGTACATGTTTAATGACGAGGTGGAAAACCGGTTATCAGTGGAAAATTTTTCATTTACCAAATGCATATGCTGCCTAAAATGCTAAACATTAATAAAACATCCATTCAGACTGAAGTCCAGTAACATCAAACCAGATGATCACTTAGCAATATATTTTTAAAAGTAATATTTCAACAGAAACCCTTTCATAAGGTCTGCCTGTATAATTACTCAGTCATAACACTAACACTTATTTCCCAAAGATTGCAAAAGTGCAGCATTTCCATTGCCTCAGGAATATTAACAGGGAGGGAGCCATTGTAGCTTCTGCAGGCAGGGAATTTCAGAATTTAGGAGCCATCACAAGGTTATTACACTGTATTTGTTAAAAGGCAGAACTTTCCCTCCCATTATATAAAGTAACTGAGGTTAATAATCATAGTTTGCAGCAGAGGACTGAAACTTGGGAGTTTTTGCAAACAAGATAATAGCTGTGGAGATGTAGATCAAAGACAAAATATAATTAGAAGCAGGAAGTATTTGAAGGAGGTTGTAATGGGATTTCTTGCACAACCTGAATCCTTGTTTTGGAAATTCAGACTGTTTGTTAAAGGTGGGCGCCCCTGGAGGAACCAGGTTTTGCCTAAATAATTGTTTGGCTGCTGGAGAAAGCCCAATGCAGAGTGAAGGAATGCAGAGTACATGGTCAATTTCAATTAAGAACCAGAAAGAGCCAACTACAACCTGGACTTTTCCTTTAAAAAACCCACACACAGTGCTCCTCCTTTCCATTCCATACTCAAATCTATTCCCCCAGCACGGTCTAATTTCTCCACACAGCATCGTCACTTCCTAGCAGTTCTGCTTCTCCGCAGGGAATAGGCTCATTACCTAACTTGCATCTCTGATATTAATCTTGGGATTCTGCCCGTGAGTGACTGCTTCCCTCTCTACCCCCACATGTTAAAGAAGCTCTTGGCATCCGTTGCCTCACTTTGCCTTTGATAAGATAAGATAAGATAAGATAAGATAAGATAACCTTTGTTGTCATTTTTTTTACTGTGGGCACAACGGCACACATCAAAAATGAAATTTAGTTGCCTGCTCTCAAAGTGAAACATATATGACACACACCTAAACATACTATGAACATATGCACAGAAATTACAAAGGCTCTTGATTATCTACATTTATGCAGATTAAGGAGGTATCCATGTTATGTCTGTGCATTTATCTGCTTAAAAAAATAAGAAATGAGTCCAAGAATCCGGGCGAGAAGCACAGGATTGGATAAACTGGCAGGGTTGAAGACAACAGGCACTCCCCACCCTCTGAGTGTTTCAAGCAGTGCTTCAGTGTAATAGAACCACTTACTGCCCCTGCTCTGGTCTTGTGATCTAACTTCCTTGGTGACAAATTAGAATAGAATAGAGCTGGAAGGGACCTTGGAGGTCTTCCAGTCCAGCCCCCTGCTCAAGCAGGAGAACCTATACCATCTCAAGACAAGTGACTGTCTAGTCTCTTCTTAAAATCTCCAGTGATGGAGCGCCCACGGTTTCTGAAGGCAAGCTTTTCCACTGGTTAATTGTCCTCACTGTCAGGAAGTTTCTCCTTAATTCCAGGTTGCTTCTCTCTTTGTTCAGTTTCCAACCATTGTTTCTCGTCCTTCCCTCTGGTGCTCTAGAGTGAACAACCTGGCCCCCTCTGCCTTGTGGCAGCCCCTCAGATACTGGAACACTGCTATCATGTCGCCCCTATTTCTTCTTTTCTTAGACTAGCCAAACCCAAGTCCTGCAGCCGTTCTTCATATGTTTTGGTCTCCAGGCCTTTGATCATCTTACTTGCTCTTCTCTGAATTTTTTCCAAACTCTCAACATCTTTTTTGTGATATGGTGACCAAAATTGGCTGCAGTATTTCAGGTGTGGTCTTACTAGGGTTTTATAAAGTGGTAATAATACCTCACATGATCTTGATTCTATGCCTCTGTTTATACAACCCAGGAGTGTATTAGCTTTTTTGGCTGCTGCTGCACACTGCTGGCTCATAGTCAAGTGATTGTCCACTAGGACTCCAAGGTCCCTCTCGCAGCTACTGTTTTTAAGCCAGGTCTCGCCCAATCTGTACCTATGCTTTTGATTTTTCCTATCTAAATGTAAAACTTTGCTTTTCTCCACATCGAAACTCATTTTGTTGGATAGGGCCCATTGTTCAAGTTTGTCAAGATCTTTTTGGATCCTGCGTTTGTCTTCTGAGGTGTTGGCTATTCCTGCCAGTTTGGTGTCATCTGCAAATTTGATGTGTTCCCCTTCAATTCCCTCATCTAAATCATTGATGAAGATGTTGAAGAGTACTGGGTCTAAGACAGAATCTTGTGGTACCCCACTGCTTACTTCTCTCCATGTGGATGTAGTGCTGTTGAGGACTACTTGTTGAGTACGGTTTGCCAGCCAGCTACAGATCCATCTGGTGGTGATGTTGTCTATTCCACCTTTTACTAGCTTTCCAGCGAGTAGGTTGTGGTCTACTTTATCAAATGCCTAAGTATACTTAGACTTCAATAAGGCATTTGATTCCAGTATTTGAGGGGCTGCCACAAAGAAGAGGGGGTCACGTTACTCACCAAAGCACCAGAGGGCAGGACAAGAAACAATGGTTGGAAACTGATGAAAGAGAGCAGCAACCTGGAATTAAGAGAAACTTAAGAGATACCAGTGGAACAGCTTCAGAAATCATAGGCGCTCCATCACTGGAGACTTTTAAGAAGAGGATAGACAGTCACTTGTCTGAGATGGTATAAGTTCTCCTGCTTGAGCAGGGGGCTGGACTAGAAGACCTCCAAGGTCCCTTCAAAATTCTATTCCATTCTACGTCCACAGCATTTCGCTGGTCTACTAGTTTAGTCACTTTATTGAAGAATGAAATAAGATTGGTTTGGCATGATCTGTTTTTAACAAACCTGTGCTGGCTACTAATTATAACTTTGTTTACATATAAATTACATTCTAGATAAGAAATATTGTAGAGGCTCCTCCCTAAAGAGGTCCAAGAAGCAGAACACAGGTAGTCCTCAACTTGCAACATCTTATTTAGCGACCATTCAAATTTACAACAGCACTGAAACAAGCGACTTATAATCATTTTTCACACTTACAATGGTTGCAGCATCCCCCTGGTCACATGATTAAAATTCAGATGTTTGGCAACTGACTCGTATTTATGAGTTGCCTTGTCCCTGGTTCATGTGACCCCCTTTTGCGATCTGACAAGCAAAGTCTATGGAGGAAGCCAGATTCACTTAACAACCATGTTACTAACTTAACAGCTGTAGGGATTCACTTAACAACTGTGGCAAGAAAGGTTGTAAAATGGGGCAAAACTCACTTAACAAATGTTCCACTATGTAACAGGAATTTTGGGCTGAATCGTGATTGTAAGTCAAGGACTGCCTGTAGTGAATTGGCAGGAGGAGAGACTTCCCCTTTACGAAAGGAGCCCCAGAACATTTTCACTCTTTCATGTTTGGGTTAATGTTATTTTTGATGTTATTTTTCTCTTTGCTTTTTGAGTGTTAAGACAGACCTCCTTATATAAGCATTTCATTCTTAATTTTTTTATGATTTGGATAATGACTGTTATGGATTTATACAGTTTTATTTGCATTATTTTCTGTTTTATTATTCTGGTCCTGTTTAGTACCATTTGTTGTTGCACTATAAACCACAGTGAGTTGGCTTGTAAGAAGCATGGAGGTATGAATGTAATAAATAATTTCTCTGTCAAAATCTGCAGCTGAAGTGAATGCCTCTTTGTGGGAGGGAGGGTGCCTCTGCCTGCCCTGGAGGAGGCGGTGGCCCACCCCCGTTAGAAGAAGCCATCCTTGGACCCAGCCAATCTTCAGTTTTCCCTTTCTAGGGAAGGAGATTGAAAGGGTGGTTGGCATTCAACTATAGAGGGTCCAGAGTGAAGTGGATTACTTGGACTCTTTTCCACTTGGGTTTAGGCCAGATCATGATCATGGCATCCTCTGTATTACCTACAGAGATTGGGAAGCCCTGTTTTTCAATGATTCTCCTTCTCTCTGTGGCTGGGGGTGTGTGTGTCTAGCCTCGGGATTTGTTTGGGCTGCCCACTTCTTTCAACATCTACATGTGCTGATGATACTTAGTTAGACATCTTCACCCCAGCTGGGTAGCTGATGACCCATTTCAGTGCTCTCTCAGCGCCTGGAAGCTGTGAGGGTCTGGATGGGCAGGAAGCAGCTCCAGTTCAACCTTAGCTAGACAGAGTTTGGGAGTTTTCTCCCCCCCCCCCCACTTTGACTCTTGATAAGGTAGCACTTCCCAGATAGAACTGCTGCGCAATATGGGGGCACTCCTGATCTGGGGCTACAGGGAACAACCACAGCTAGAGAGGCCTTTGCCTTTTGCCAGCCAACTGCGCCTTTTCCAGGGCCAGGAGGCCTTGCTCATGATTAATCGTGGCTTGGTCACTTATTGGTTCAACTACAGCAATGCATTTTGCGGGGGGCTGCCCTTGGAAACTGCCCAGCATGCAGCAGCTCGCAGTGCTGGGCATCTCTCAGTTTATCCATGTGACAACATTGCTGCCCAAGCTGCACTGCCTTTCCATTTCTTTCTGGGTGCAATTCAAAGTGATGGCGATTCCATCAATGCCCCAGGCAGCCAGGGGCAGGTTATTTGGAAGACCGCCTTTCCCTGAAGTATCTGCTCATTCCAGGGCAACCTTTGGGTCCCCCCCCTTAAATGCTGCCATCTAGTGGGACCAAGGAGAGCGCCTTTTATGAAGCAGCCCCTTCCCCTCCAGATCAAGAAGCCTCCCCCCCTCTTCACATTTCTGGAATGCCAACAAGAGCAGGCTCCCCCCCCCCGCACTGGAATGCTATGGTTTTCTCATCTCTGATATTACTGTCGTTCTAAAGATGGGCTGCTATTTAAGTTGTATCAATCAAATCCTATCTGAAGCAGGGATGGACTAATACACCCCCCCTCCTTTGGTCTCACTTGCTAACAGTACCTGCCTCCTACTACAAGGCCGACTTGGGCCTGCCTCACTTTCCCAGCAACCTTTGTACCTCAATCTTTTTTAAAATGTACCTAAGTACACACATGTATACACACACAGCCCTGATATATTATGCAGTACCACATGCAACTCTAAGAGGGAAGAGGTGTCCCTACACCTGTCTAAAAGGGTTTAAAATGAAGCCCTTGTTCCAAGAGCAGCAGAAAATGAATCTGCTCCATTACCTATTTGAGTTTTTAAAAGAAAATGGAACGAAATTAGATACAGGCAGTCCTTGACTTACAACAGTTCATTTAGTGAACATTCAAACTTACAACAGCACTGAAAAAACTGACTTATGGCCGTTTTTCATACTTACGACAGTTGCAGCACCTCCATGGTCACGTGATCAAAATTCGGACCCATGGCAACTAACTCATATTTATGACGGTTGCAGTGTCCCAGGGTCATGCTACCTTCTGACAAAGTCAATGGGGGAAGCCAGATTCACTCAACAACCAGGTTACTAATTTAACAACCACAATGATTCACTTAACAACTGTGGCAAGAAAAATCGTAAAATGGGGCAAAACTCACTTAACAGAGGCCTCACTTAGCAACATAAATTTTGGGGTCAATTGTGGTCATAAGTCAAGGACCACCCGCAGTTCACAGACCTAATCCTTGATACGTGAAAAGATGAAACCAATTTTAATCATAAACTTGATGATCCATGTTTGCTATAAAAAATTAGTTGAAAGGCAACTCACCAGTAGATTGTGTAAGCCTCTGCTTGAGCTGGGTCCTGGATATTTGGTTCATTTAGAAGTTCTTGAATTCCTAACAAGATCTAAGAACATAGAATGAGAGAAGCATCACTGTAAAGTACACTCGCATCTTGCAAAATCATGGATTAAAATCAGGTACATATTTTCATCAATGTATTAAATGCTTACTCTCGGCTGTTAACTGTAAATTTAAAATATTAAGAAATCATTAGGTCTTACGGGTATACAAGTAAGGCCATTTGAGTCAATATAATATGATGCATAAATTAGGTCCAGGTTCTAACAAAATGCATACTTGTTTAATTGTGATTGCAGGCCTCCAATCCTTATCTTCTTCTAAGATAGACAGACAGACTGTGCCTGAAGGATACACGTTTGGATGGAATAAGGGTGGCTCAAATTTGCCTAGAGAAAGGAAAACTTGGTTCAAATAAAAGGATTTGGCAAAACACTTTTAAAAGCTAGCAGGGCTTCAATCAATGCTAGGGAGCAAGAATATGATCTTTGCCTCTATACCCAGTTTAAATTCCCGTCTCTGAAGTAAACCAATTGAACTTCTTTTGAAATCCCTTAAGAATTATGACTGATGGTATCTCTTGTGAATCTTCTGAATGAGGTTTTTTCAACCAAATCTCTTTTAAAAGAGCACTAGTAATTTAAAGATAGCCACAAGAATTGGGTGGGAAAGAACACCAACAAAAACGTTTTTTTGAAAGGAAGCTGATATGCTGAAACTCAGATCTGAAATGCAGCAATTTTAAAAAATGCATCCAATAGTATTTATTCCATGGACCTAAATATTTATTCAAACACTTAGTAAGACTCTGAACCAATTAACAAAATGAAAATAAAAATGAAAATTCTGAAACATCCAATGGAAAGAAGTATATCCTCAAGAAGAGACAAACAGAAAACAGCACACAAGGTACTGAAAAGTAAATTTCAAAATCTTTGCCCATGTAAAAACTTCAGTAGGGGAGTCATGCAAAATAAAGGAAGCGGCAAATTCCTGTGATTCAGGACAACCTGTTTTGTTCTGGGGATTCCAAGAACTTTTGCACAACGAAAGAAGTAAGAGAGATTTTGCATGGTGAGCGCTCTAAATAATACAGCTTGAAAATTGCTCAAAACCCGAGATATAATAGTCCCCGCTTCTGAAAGGAAATGGTTTCACAAAGCAGATAGAAAATATTATAAGCGAATCAGAATTGGCCAAGTTCTTGAACTTATCAAACCCTGAAACCAGCATGCTGGGATGCAGCCAGAGGAACAGAGCCGGCGGGTGGGTGATGGTTGGAGGCAGCGAGTGTCTAACTTTGGGGGGAAATGAGATATCAATGCTCCTCCTAATTTGCTACATCTACCCGCCAGGAGCCCTCTGGCTGCTGCTTGTCGAGGACTTGAGCTCCTTCTACCTGGCAGCTCTGAGGTTTACCAGACTTACATTTCGGAGGCGAGGAGGGATAATCGTCCTTAAAAAGCATCCGTAACTTGAACAGGCCTCCTTCCCACGGGGTCTGTCGGGAAAGCACAAGACGGGCCGCCGTTTGCCCAAAGCGCTTCACTTCCGCGGGCTGAGCCGCCCAGAGGGGGAACCGTCCAAGGCTGCGGGGCAGGCGAGGCCCCGGTTCAGGGGGAGGCCGGCGCGGCTCTCTCCGCTCCAGGCCGGCCGCCCGGAGTCCCGCCAGGCCCGCCGCAGCCGGTGCGCACTTCCTCCCCGGGAACCGCCTTCCCTCCCCCACCCCCAGCCCCGTCACGGGAGCCTCGGACGGCCGGGGGGGCCGCGCAGGACCCCCGCCCCCCCCGCGGCCCCCCCGGCGAGCGGCGCCCGGCAGACAAAGGGCCCCTTACCCCTTTCTTCCCCGGGATGGCGCACTCCCAGTTCATGAGGTTCATCGTGCCGTCGGGGTTCTTGGTGGGCACCGCCACGAAGCCCTGCGAGGAGCCCAAGGTTAGCCGCGCCGCGCCGCCCCGGGCCCTCGGCCGCCCGCCCGCCCGCCCGCCCCGCCGCGCCCCGCCCGCCGCCACTNCTGACCTTGACAGTCGCCCCCGCCCCCCGCGGCAGGCGCGTCCCCTCCGGCGCCCGCGGCCTCACCGTGAAGCGCCCGCGGCGGCGGCGGAGGCGGCGGAGGCGGCAGCAGCAACCCCCGCGCGTGTCCCGGATTCAGGCGGCGGCGGCGAATGACCCGGATGTTCCCTATCCGCCTCCCCCCCTTTTGTCTCAAACCCGGCCTTTCCCTCGCAGAAAACGGAGCGCGTCTGCACGGCCTGTCCCTCGGCGCGACCCGTCTGCGCGACAGCGCCTGCGCCGAGAGCGCGAAGCTGAACGCCGCCGCGCGGGACGCTCCGAGACCACGCCCCCCGCTCCGACAGAGAGCAGCCGGCGGGCGGGAGGCCGGAAGGGGCGGGGCCGGCTCCGCGGCGTCGTTCTCGTCGGCTCGCCGTCTCCCGCCCGGCCCCTCCGGCCACGCGCTCCCTCCCCGCTCGCCGGCAGCGGGGCGAGCGGCGCCCGCTCAGCCGCTTTCTGGCCGGGCCCGATCCAGAGGCGGCGTCGCGCTCCGGCCCAGTGGCCGCTCGGAGGCAGGGAGAGAGTCGGGCCCGGTGCGGGGCTCCGCGGCTGCGAATTAGGGACACGGAATCGAGGGCGGGGGGGGGAGGGAGCAGGCGCCTGCGATCAAAGCGACTTAGAGCAAGGAAAGGATAAGCGAGGGCAAGGAGGCCAGGCCGGCTGAGAAGGGAAGCAAGGCTCCCGCTCTCCCTTGCGACGGCCCGGGTGAGGAAGCCCTCGGGGTCTCCGGGGACCCTCGGTCCGGAAGGCAGGCGCGCACCTGCGCGGTAGAATTGGCGAGGGGTCTGTTATGGGAAACGGGCGTTCCCTCGAGGGGGGTCTTTCGCCTTGAATTGCAGCCCCGACCAGGTCAGCTCACGGAGCAGGGGCGCACCAAGGCGTTTGGCACCAGTTGACGCTTCCGGGGGTCTTCAAGGACAACCCCGCACGCAGTGCATTACAGCAGTCAAGCCATTAGATGACGAGCATGAACGTCCAAAGGGTCCCTCTGTTCTGGAAAAGGGTGCATCAGATATAGTTGTGCAACCTTGTTTATGATCTTTGTCAGCAACTATTGTAGATGAATTGGCCAGAATCCTTGCAACGAAAGTGGACCAGGAGAAGCAGCAGACAGTCTGGTAGCTGCGCTGGCTCTTCTGCAAGACACCTACAAAACGCAGCCTTAAATACAGTTTATCCATATTTGGGGATAACAAACGAAAAATATTGGGAACACTGAGAATGGACCAGAGTTCATAGGCAATACAGGTAGTACTTGACTTATTACCTCAATTAATCCCAAACTTTCTGTTGCTAAGTGAGACAGTTAAGTGAGTTTTGCCCCATTTTACAACCTTTTTTGCCACAGTTGAGTTAATCACTGCAGTTCTTATATTAGTAACACATTTGTTAAGTGAATCTGGCTTCCCCATTGACTTTGTCAGAAGGT